TGCTGTATAATTCTATGATTCAATGAAATTTACATACTCGCACACATGCGCATACACACATACACACACAACCTCACAAACAAACTTACACACTTACACACATTTACTCACACAAACTCGCTCACACACAAACACACACGGATGCACAATCAAACTTACATGCACTCAAACTCACACAAATTGAAACACATTTACCACACACTCACAGAGACTCACTCACTCACTCACTCACTCACTCACTCACTCACTCACTCACTCACTCACTCACTCACTCACTCACTCACTCACTCAAACTTACCAAGACACACACCTCACACACAAACATAGCCACACACACTCAAAGTCATACACACTCGCATACAATCTCACACACTCATACTTAGGTGTAGAGAACTTCGATTAGACCATAATTTTAACCCCTTGTACGCTGTCAGCCTGGTTCAGTGGTAGTGTTCTGGCCTCTGAGTTAGGAGGTTGTGGGTTCAAGCCCAGTATATTCTGTGAAGCGCTTTGAGACGTCTCGAAGACAGGATAAGGTGCGATATCAAATGCAAGGATTATTATTATTATTATTATCATCATCACACAGTCTAACCGGACACTCCAATGTAGTGCTGGGGATGTGTTGCATTGTCAGAGGAGCTGTCCTACAGATAAAATGTTAAACCAAGGTACCGTTGTCTGTTCAGTTGGACGTTAAAAATCCCGCAGCACTATTCGAAAAGAGAAGGGCATTTCTCTTTCTCTCCCGGTGTCCTGGACAATGATTCCCCAAATAAAATTGGTCACTCATTTCATGTGTTCGATTCCTGGGCAGGGCGAAACCTTAGCCTCTGTTTATTTAACTATAAGTAGGAACCTGGTTGTTAGTTGACCGGCGGATTGCTTTTCCGGGGGTAATAATCCCTTAAAAAAATTATAATTTGGTCACTCAATCCACAACTGTTTGTTGGACGCTGCTGTGCGCAATTGGCTGCCGCGTTTCGTCCACAAAATACACAGTAAATTCACTTTACAGTGTATTCTGTGAAGCGCTTTGAGGCGTCTTGAAGACGTGATAAGGCGCTAAACCAAATGCAAGGATTATTATCATTATTCTTCTCCTCTCACTCTGCCATCGCCCTCCTCGCTGCCCTCTTGCTGTTAGCCAGCCGGTGGAGCCTCGCTCTCTCCATAGATGCTGCCTGACCTGCTGCGTGTTCCCAGTGACTTGTGTTTTTTTTTCAGATTTCCAGCCTCCGCAGTATTTTGTCTTTTGTCCTCAGTCTTTTTCCCCAGTGAAGTTCAGGGAATTGTGCCAAGCTGAGCTGGATATCCAGATTGCACACAATCCTTTCCGAAGGGACCAGAGAAATATTCCACAAAGGTCAAGAATCTTTGTGCCGATTCAATGTGAATATAAGTGAGAGAGAGAGAGAGAGAGAAGGGGGGCACTGAGCCAGCCAGCCCACACACCGCTAACATTCCTCTCTCTTCCCAGTTGATGCCCCAAGAATCCAACAGGCACTACTCCCTGTTTATTTTTGTCTCAGTTTCTTTTCAAACCTGGAACACAGGAAGAAACAACTCACAATTGTCCCAACGTTGCAATTGCAGTGACTATTTTATGTGGAAGAAAAATACCAAACAAACCTGTCAATAATAATAATAATTCTTGTATTTGATATAGCGCCTTATCATGTCTTCGAGATGTCTGAAAGCGCTTCAAAGAATATGCTGTAAAGTGAATTGACTGTATTAATAATTGACTATATTTTGTGGGCGAAACGTGGCAGCTAATCAGTGTCCTACAAACAGTCGTGGATTGAGTGACCAATTTGTTTTATATAAGGAATTATTAGCCCCGGAAAAGCAATCCGCCAGTTGTCTAACAACCGGGTTCCTACTTACTGCTGGGTAAACAGAGGCTTGTGTGTGGAGTAAAGAAACGTGCCCAACATTTTACCCTGCCCGGGAATCAAACCAGGTCTCTCGCTTGCGAGGCGAGTACTCTAACCACTGAGCTACAGGACTCCTGAAACAATAGTTTGAAATTGTCAGTTTCCTTCCTGTGGCCAGAATTTTAAACAAATCGGGCTGCCACGCTATCTGCCTTATCAAGAGGTAATTCTCAGCTCAAGGACAGCACCCGAGGAAGAGTAAACACTGAAGACGGTGATGGCTGAGAAGGGCCTGGACTTTGGCTCAGTTCAGTCGATACCAGGGTCAGATCTTAACCCTCCCCCATCCCCTGGGCTCTTATCAACCTGCACCAAATACTATCCCAGACAATGCACCTTTGATGGCAGACAAACAAGCCAGACTCATCAGCAGGACCTGCCACAACGACAATAACAAATTACACTTGTACATCGCCCTTCACATCAGAAAGATATCCCAGGGTGCTGGATAATCAGGGGTTTGGGACCCGAGCTGGGAGTTGTGGTCAGGAGGGGTGGAGGGCGGGGGGGGGATTGGGGGGGTGTTTGTGATCCAAAGGCACAATCAAAGAGAAAGTTCTTCAGACGGGACTTGAAGGAGCCAAGAGAGGGGGTGAGGCGGAAGGATTGCGGGAGAGTTCAGGAGTGTGGTGGCAGAGATGCTGAATGCCCGACCCCCAATGTGCGATGGGAAGTGTGGGAGAGCTGAAGTCCACCGAGCGGATGGAGCAGAGAGGCTGATATGGGGTTAGGAGGTCGGAGAGGTAGTGGGGGAAGCAAGACCATGGAGGGTTTTGAAGGTGCGAACGAGGGTTATGTACTTGATTCTCTGTGGAATGGGGAACTAGCGGACAGACTGATCACTGGGGGCAGGCATCGTGGTAACAGTAATAACCCTTGCAATTTGATATCGTGCCTTATCACATCATCACAATGTCTCAAAGTGGTTCCTACTATAAAGTGGATTTAACTGGTGTTTTGTAGGCAAAACACGGAAGCCAATTGTCCGCAGAGGTGTCCCACAAACAGCCATGGAGTGAGTGACTAATTTTATTCAGGGGATTTGTCAGCCAGGAGACCAGGAGAAACACACTTCTCTTAACATCCACCTGAACAGGCAGAGGGGATATCATTTTTTTTAATGTCTCATCCAAAGGATGGCACCTCTGGTAATGCAGCAATCCCCCAGGACTGCATTGGAGCATTCACTTGGACTGTGTGATTCCAAATCCTGACATGGGGCATAAACCCACACCTCCTGGCTCAGAAGCGAGGCAGAGTCCTGTTTGTCTGTCTGGGCAGACGTTAAAGATAGTAATAATAATAATCCTTGCATTTGATATAGCGCCTTATCAAAACGTTTTGCCCACAAAACACACAGCCCCTACACTTGACAGTTTTCCTGTGAGACTGGATATCCGCTTTGATATGTCTCGAAGACATGATAAAGCGCAATATCAAATGCAAGGATTATTATTAGTATTATCACGTCTTCAAAACATTTCAAAGCGCTTCACAGAATATGCTGGCAAGTGAATTGACTATATTTTGTGGGTGAAACGCAGCAACCAATTGTGCACAGCAGCGTCCCGCAAATAATTTTTTTGAAGGAATTATTACTCCCGGAAAGCGATCTGCGCACTGCTAGGTAAAGAGGTGTGCGGAGTAAGGAAACTCGCCCAACATTTTGCTCTGACTAGGAATCGAACGCAGGTCTTCTCACTTGCGAGGTAAGCGCTCTAACCACTGAGCTACAGGACTTGATGTGTGCATAACGTCTGCCGTGTTTGCCTAATAAAAAGCAGTCACTACATTTGACAGTAAGTGCTCGTGCAATGCTTTGAGAGGATTCGAGGAGGTAAATCCCTGTACAAACGTGAAATCTGGTCCTTCAATGTCAGAACGGTGTGGGAATGAGCAGGTCACAGGGAGAGGTTTGCTGGATTAAGTTGACCTATGGAGGGTTGAGGAAGGGAGGTCACGGCGATAGCAGGTGTGCAAAACTCTCATAAAGCTGTCACTTAAAAGCAGGTGCTTAGTCCAAGGCACTGCCACTCGGTTACACTTTCTGAATGGGGCTTTGTGCCTGGGATACACCTGACACACTGAACATTGTGTGGTCGCACAACACAAGGTGTAAATCACAGGTAAGCGCAGACCGCCTTAAACTGAAGGCAGCAACCTTGGTCAATAAGGCTGATACTGCTTTCACACGAGCTGATGGATGACAACATTCTCTGGTCTAAAGGGGCAAGCTGTTTCCTAGTATCCAGAACAGAAGAACCAGAGCACACGACCGCGATTGAAGCAAGGCTACATTCGAAGCAAATCTGCAGTAACAATATTTCAGTGAATGAGTCGTAAACGTATAGAACGGGCCCCCCACAAGGAGACAGTGGAAGCAGCAAGTATTGGTTCTTTCAAATGCAAAAATTTTTAGGAAATAGTATTTTAGGATACAATATTTGAGTAAATTAGGACATAACATGTGCAAGTGACTGCCAGGATGGTGCAAGGCAAAATGGATGGACCTTGGTCTTTTATTGTCCAGCATTTCCTATGTTCCTCTGATGTTGGACATGATCTGGGCTGGTTTTCAGGAGGTGGGGGCTACTCACTGATGAGCTGCTCATTTCAGCCAGGACACCTCATGGCTACAGTGAGATAGTGGACTCTACAGGACTGTAGAGTCCTGTAGCTCAGTGGTTAGAGCGCTCACCTCACAAGCGAGAGACCTGGGTTCGATTCTCAGCCAGAGCAAAACATTGGACAAGTTTCCTTACTCCACACACCTGTTTACCCTGCAGTAAGTAGGAACCCAGTTGTTAGTCGATTGGTGGATCTCATTTCTGGGGGTAATAAAAATAATAATAATAAAAAATAATAAATTGGTCACTCGATCCATGACTGTTTGTGGGACGCTGCTGTGCACAATCAACTGCCGCGTTTCGCCCACAAAATATACAGTCAATTCACTTCACAGTATATTCTGTGAAGCGCTTTGAGATGTTTCGAAGGTGTGATAAGGCGCTGTATGGAATGCAAGGATTATTATTACTATCTCTTTTTCAATCATTGCAGGCAGAGCTCTGCGGGGAGGTGACGGACGTTGACTGGGCGTGCAGACACATACAGGTAGACTGACCCAGCCCGAGACGTCTTCCTGGGATAAACGCTGAGCTCTGAGCCCGTGCCATGTCAGGGATGCTCTGGGTGGTGCTGGGGCTGTGTCTGGGGGTCAGCCTGGGAGTGAGCGGGCAGACAACACGGAGAGGGTGAGTAATGAATACAGGAGCCGTGAAATGGTTTAACCTTTCCAATGGCTCAGGATTATAGAAGGATTCAGATGCAGAGGAAGGCCATTCAACTCACATTCTAAATAATAATAGTAATAATCCTTGCATTTGATAGTGTCTTATCACATCTTTGATGCATCTCAAAATGCTTCACATTTTGTGGCCGAAACACGGCTGTGTTCCACAAACATTTGTAGATTGAGTGACCAAATTATTATTATTTTTTTAAAAATAATTGTTGAAGGGATTATTAACCCCAGAAAAGCGATCCGCTAATCAACTAACAACTGGGTTTCTACTTACTGCTAAGTAAACAGAGGCGCGTGTGGAGTAAGGTAACTTGCCTATTGTTTCTCCCTGCCGGGAATCAAACCCAGGTCCTCTCGCATGCAAGGCGAGGGCTCTTATCAATACTCAACAGGATTTCATGCTTAATAATTCTTGCATTCAATACAGTGCCAATAACACCAACACATTTCAAAGTGCTTCACAAAAAATTCCTGTCAAATATTGGCAGGTTGTTTCAATACTAATCCTCGCCATTGATATAGCGTTATATGTTGAAATGTCTCAAAGTGCTGCACAGAGCTCTTGTGAGGTGCAGTGGATGTGCGTCTGTAGATGGATAAACAGCCATGAAGTGAGTAGCTGACTGTCTGGTGGATCGGTGGCCAGGAGTCCAGGAGAAACCCTCTTCTTTTTTCTACTTCAACATCCACCTGAATAGACAGAAAGGGGCTTGGTTTAATGCCTGATATGAAGCATTGCAAACTTACTCTCTGCCCCCCTGCCAACCCCATCCATCCAGTTGTAGAAAAATTCTCCTCTATCTTTCCTCCTAAATGAATTTGTATTCCAGTCACTTGTTGCTGAACAGAGACAATCGCCTTGAATGTAATTGATGTCTCTTTGAGCCACTTAGAATTGACTTTTCCTTTTTACTAATAATAATTCTTGCATTTGAAATAGCGCCTTATCACGTCTTCGAGACATCTCAAAGCGCTTCACAGAATATACTGTAAAGTGTAGAGACTGTGTATTCTGTGGGCAAAACGCAGCAGCCAGTCGCGCACAGCAACGTCCCACAAACAATCGTGGATTGAGTCGTGGACCACGTTGTTATTTTTTTGAAATTTTATTTTTGGAGGGATTATTATCCCTGGAAAAGCGATCCACCAAATGACTAACAAGCTACTTACTGCTAAGTAAACAGAGGCGTGTGTGTGTGGAGTAAGGAAACTTACCTAACTTATCGCCCTGCCCGGGAATCGATCCCAGATCAACAACAATAACAAAACACGAGGTAGAGTCCTGGAGTACTTCACAGTGGTGAAGTCTGATAACTCTTGGCTGGTCCTCTCTCTTGCGAGGCGGGTGCTCCAGCTACTGAGCTACAGGACTCCACAATTTTTGTGCAATGTATTAATTCCATGTGTTCTCCAGAAAGAGTAACCCGTTGCTCTGTGACTGTTTTCAGCCGTAGGGTTTGCTGGAAGGAGCAGCTCCAAGTGCCATTGGCTTACAATGAATCCTTCATCCATCCCATGTACACACCCTACATCACCCTGTGTGAGGGGCAACGCATATGCAGCACCTACAGGTGAGAGAGAGAGAGAGAAGCAACTCACATTCTTATAGCACATCATCGCACTGAAATAATAATTATAATAATAATCCTTGTATTTGCTATAGCGTCTTATCACATCTTCAAAACATCCCAAAGTCTTAACAGAATAAACTGTAAAGTGAATTCACTGTATATTTTGTGGGTGAGATGTGCATGTGTCTGGGTGTGTGCAATCATGTCATTGCATTCATCTCGGTGCTTACACATGTGTCCACCTGCGTGTGTTCTGCATGTATATTCACCGAACGGGTTAATTTCAAGATCCTCACACCTAATTCAAACCTCTTCATGCCCTGGCATCTCCCTACCTCTTCGACCTGCTTACCCCTAACCCACAGCCCACTGCCTCCGCTCGACTGGCTCCGGCCTCCTGCATATCCCCCGTGCCTCCCGTTCCACCATTGGCGGCTGAGCTCTGGAACTCTATCCCCCAGTGCCTTCGCCGCTTCCTCCCTTTCCTCATTCAAGGCCGGTCTCAAGACCTTTCTCTTCGACCGAGCCTTCAGCTCCTCTCTCGACTCTCTACCCCCTCTTCTCTCCCTCCCTTCCCTCCCCTCACCCTGACCATTTCCCCCCTGCTTGGGTCCCGACCCATTTTCAGGTTGCGCTTGAAGGCCTTCCTCTTCGACTGTGCCTACAGTCACCTCCTCCTCTGGCGTCAACACTGTCAAGTGCTCTGGGATGTTGTTGTTGTATACCTCTGTATGCACTGATATGTCCACCTGTTTGTATTTGTTTGTGTCTGCTCGCCGGCCTTCCCGGCACCTCCCTCCACAAGCTGCAGGTCATTCAGAACTCTGCAGCTCGTGTATGTCCCACACCAGGCTTCACGACCACATCACTCCCACCCTCGCTCACCTCCACTGGCTCCCCATCCCCCAGAGGATCGAATTCAAGATTCTCATCCTCACCTACAAGGCCATTCACGGCCTCGCTCCCTCCTACCTCTCTGCTACTATCCCCCTACCTACCTGCCCGTACCCTCCGTTCCTCTGGCTCCGGTCTGCTCCACATCCCCCGCCCCAACCGCCCTACCATCGGTGGCCGGGCCTTCAACATCTCAGCCCCGAGGCTCTGGAACTCTATCGCCCAGTGCCTTCGCCGCCTCCTCCCTTTCCTCCTTCAAGGCCGGTCTCAAGACCTTTCTCTTTGACCGTGCCTTCAGCTCCCCTCTCGACTCTCTACCCCCTCCTCGCTCCCTCCCTTCCCTCCCCTCACCCTGACCACCCGGGCGACAAACACACGTGTTGGGCTTTGAGCAGGTGCTACCATTTCCTCCACACTCCCCCTTTCCCCCTTAAAACTTCCCCTCCCACCCATCCCTGCCACCCGACCCAACTGTACAGCGCCTTGGGACATCCTCCCGACGTGAAAGGCGCTCTATAAATGGAATGTTGTTGTTGTTGTAGTTGCTGCTCCATCGATGTGTTGTGGCTGGTTAGGGCCTCTCTGACCTCCGAACACCATATCAGCCTGTCCGCTCCCTCCGCTCTGCAGACACCGGCCTGCTTCAGGTCCCCCACATTATTTGTGGTCAGGCATTCAGCATCTCTGCCCCCAAACTCTAGAACTGTTTCCCGCAATCCCCCCGCCTCACCCCCTCTTGCCTCCTTCAAGTACCGTTTCTTCAACTGTGCTTTTGACCACACTTCCACCCCCACCTCCCCTGCCCTCCATCCCTCTTAACCCCAACTCCCAACTTGGATTCAAAAAAATCTTAATGTCCAGCGCTCTGGAATGTCTTTCCAATGTGAAGGGCGATGCACAAGTGTAATTTGATGTTGTTGTTGTTTGATGTTGTTGCTGATGTGAATGTTGTTGTTAGGTTGTTGGTGTCGTTATTGGTGTTGGTGGTGTTATTCGTGTTTGTGTTGGTGTTGCTGGTGTCGGTGTTGGTCATGTTGTTGTCAGTGTTGTTATTGGTGTTTGGTGTTGTTGGGTGTTGGTTTTGGTGGTGGTGGTATTGGTGGTGGTGGTAGTGGTGGTGGTGGTAATGGTAGTGGTGTTGGTGGTGTTGGTGTTAATATCGTTGGTGTTGGTGGTGGTGTTGGTGGTGGTGGTAGTGGTGTTGTTGGTGTTGTTGGTGGTGTGTTGTTGGTGTTGTGGTGTTGGTGTTGTTGGTATTGTTGGTGTTGGTTTTGATGTTGGTGATGGTGGTGGTGTTGGTGGTGGTAGTGGTGGTAGTGGTGTTGTTGGTGGTGGTAGTGGTGGTAGTGGTGTTGTTGGTGTTGGTGGTGGTGGTGTTGTTGGTGGTGGTGGTGTTGGTTTTGATGTTGGTGGTGGTGTTGGTATTGGTGGTGTTGGTATTGGTGGAGTTGGTGTTGGTGGTGGTGTTGATGTCATTGTTGTTGTTGCTGTATCTCTGATATTTCCCTGTGTTCTCAGGACCATCTACAAGGTTTCCTTCCGCCAGGTGCAGAAGGAAGTTTTGCAGACAGTTTACCATTGCTGTCCCGGCTGGAGAAAGCGACTCCCCCACTCCACCACCTGTGACCTCGGTGAGCAAAACCTCGGGGCGGGAAGGGAGGGGGCAGAGAGGGAGAGGGGCGCGGATGGGAGGGGCGTGGATGGGAGGGGTGAGAGGGAGGTGGGAGAAGGAAGGAGCGGGGGAAGGGAGAGGGTTGGGTGGCAGGGATGGGTGGGAGGGGAAGTTTTAAGGGGGAAAGGGGGAGGGAGGAGGGAATGGGGAGGGGGGAATGGGGAGAGGAATCCCAGACTGTCCAGCATTTTGGGACGTCCTCCCGACGTGAAAGGTGCCGTGTAAATGTCATTTGTTGTTGTTGTTGTTCAAAGCTCAGACTCCACTCTTCTCTTTCCAGCCGTCTGCTCGAAGCTGTGTCAAAATGGCGGCACCTGCTCAAAGCCCAACACGTGTGTTTGTCGCCCGGGCTGGGGCGGGAAATACTGCACGATAGGTAACAGGGATTGGGTGATGATAACAGAGATTGGGTGATGGTAACAGGGATTGGGTGATGTGTAGAGTGTCGGGGGATAGCAATTCAACCAGGTTGCTGGGTGTCTGGGTTGATGTGTGACTGCTTTGGGACGTCCTCCTGACGTGAAAGGCGCTTTATAAATGGAATCTTGTTGTTGTTGTTGTTGCTTTGTCTTACTTTCCCCCCTCCCGCGCTCTCTCCTCTCGTTGTTGCTGTGTTGCCCCCTCACCCCTCTGCTCACCCCTGCTCCAGATGTTGATGAGTGCCGGGCTCCCATCCGGTTGTGCGCCCAGCGCTGTGCGAACACACTCGGCAGCTACAAGTGTGATTGTCTCCCGGGCTACACACTGGGGGCTGACGGACGAGACTGTGTGCGGTCAGAGACCTCCCGCCCGCCGGCCCCGGCCACTCCTGCAGCTCCGCCAGGTAAAGCAGAAAGTACTTCTTATTCCTCTTTAACACTCTGAGGCTCTCAGCAATCATTGTTTAGCATAGTGACTGTGCGTTTGTAAGTGAACGCAATGCAGCAATGTCCCACAAACCACGCAGCCCCGTAGCTCAGTGGTTAGAGCGCTCACTTCGCAAGCGAGAGAACCCATGTTTGATTCCCGGGAGAGGAGGATGAAACCTTGGGCAAGTTTTCTTACTTCAGACGCACGCCTCTGTTTACCCAGCAGTAAGTAGGAACCCGGTTGTTAGTCGATTGGCAGATGACTTTCCAGGGGTAATAATCCCTCTCTCCCCCTCAAAAAAAGTGGTCACTCAATCCATGGGTGGTTGTGGGACGCTGCTGGGCGCAATTGGCTGCCGCATTTCAACCACAAAATACACAGTCAATCCACTTTACAATATATTCGGTGAAGCGCTTTGAAACGTCCTCCCGACGTGAAAGATGCTACACCAATGTAAGTTGTTGTTGTTATTCTATCAAATGCAAGAATCTTTATTACAAAGTCAATGACTGACGTTATCTTGAGGATTGTCGGTGTGGACACACACACAGCAACTCCCTTCGCCTTTCAAATATTCACCACCATTAACCTCCACCAGATCAGGGAAACAGGACTTGAGTGTAAATCTCATGGAGTGTCAGCCTGGACTGTAAGATCAGCTTTCCCGCCACAACCGTGAATCCACAACCTTCTGATCCAGAAGCGAGAGAATCTCTGAATCAGTCACTGTTATAAAGATCAAACTGGCCCATCATCATCATCACCATCACCATCATCATAATAATCCTTGCATTTGATATAGTGCCTTATCACATCTTTGAGACGTCTCAAAGCGCTTCACAGAATGTACTGTAAAGTGAAGTGATTGTGTATTTTGTGGGTGAAACATGGCAGCCAATTACGCACAGCAGCGTCACACAAACAGTAGTGACCAAATTTTTTTTTAAGGAATTATTACCCCCTCCCAACGTGAAAGGCGCTATGTGTTGTTGTAAATTGTTGTTGTTGTTGTTGTTAAAGGGAACGTACACTTAAAGGCAAAGTCTGCCGAGGTGCCAGCTTCCTGAACGGGAAAGGAAATGTGGGTGATGATGCGTTATGACTCCTGGCCCGCGCTGTGACTATCGATCCACGTACCGGGAGTGATAATGCACCGTGGCCCACCCCAACCAGCAACGGGAATCCAAGAGGGAATGGAGACAAAATGGGGCAAGTGGATCCAGGGGGCGCTTTTATTATTAGTGTGTATGGCTTGGTTGGACTCGATGGAGGAAGAAATCCCTGACTGGAGAAGCCAAAGATTTAAAAGGAGCTTTGCCGCTGTGACAAAAGGAATAAATGTTCACAGGAACCTCGGAACAGGAGTCGACCATTCAACCCCTTTGAGCCCGGTCATTCTGTTAGATTATTCCTTCAAAATTTCCATCAAAAAAACAATTGGTCACTTCAATCCATGACTGTTTGTGGGACGCTACTGTGCGCAATTGGCTGCCGTGTTTCGCCCACAAAATTCACTGTGTATCCTGTGAAGCGCTTTGAGACGTCTCAAAGTCCTGATAAGGTGCTGTATCAAATGCAAGCATTATTATTATTACCCTGTGAAGCATTTTGAGACGTCTCAAAGATTAGATAAGGCGCTACATCAAATACAAGGGTTTGTTATTTTTATTTTATTATATCAACAATATGAGGATTATTATTTTAATGTCTCTCTGAATTTGCTACTGCCATATTTATTTCTTTTCAGGTGGAAAGGAGTTGGATGGAGGAGGCAGTAATGAGGTACAGGAGCTACGCACCCGGCTTGACATACTGGAGCAGGTTAGTTAGTGAGGGTGTAAGCGAGGGAGGGAGTAAGCAAAAGAGGGAGTGTGTGAGGGAGTGTGTGAGGGAGTGTGTGAGGGAGGAAGGGAGGGAGGGAGGGAGGGACGTGTGTGTATAGGAGCACAGAGATCCTGAGCATCACCAAAATCAGTACTACAACAACTTGTATTTACAGAGTACCCTTCACACAGGGTAGTGTCTCAGAGCGCTTAACAGTGGAGGAGCCTGACACCGGGGGGAGGGGGGAGGTGCACTGTAGGCAAGGTATAAGAGGAACGTTTCCAGGCGTGATCTGAAAATGAAGAAGGAAGGGGAAAGTTGGAGGGATAGAGGGAGAGAGTACCAAGTTTGGGGGCATAGTGGCTGAAAGCAGAGCCACCGCTGGTGGTTGGGAGGACACGAGGGGCAAGCGGGAGAGGAGGATGGACTGGTTTGCATCGCAGACTGTTCGAAAGTCAACCAGGAAGTTGTGGCAGTGGGTGGGTTTGTTGAGACACAACACAACTGGTGCTGCCAGTTAACCTGGCAACTGTGCTGCTGAGTTTTGTCTACGCTACTGAATGCAGTCAGGGCATCACAGGCTGAAGGTCGCGGATTCAAACCACATTGGGGACTTTCGGTTGGCAGTCCAGGATGAGCGCTGCTGAAGTTGGGAGTTCTGTCCTCAGCGAGCAATGTTAGCTCACTGCTGTCTGGCTGGTGAGGGTGGACATTGAATCCCTTCTTGATCTTGTCGTAAACCCCACTCCAAAACACCCTCCAGCCTGTACACTCCACTCCTCGGTTTCTGGTCTACTGCTGGTTCCTCACTCACTCCTCACTCACTCCAATATGCTAAGTCTACAGCCGCTTTACCTCTGCATAATTTTGCTCACACACACACAGTCTCACACTATCTATCTCTCTCTCATTCCCGCGCACACCTACCAATTGTCTACTAGTAGTGTAGCAGTTAGAGCGCTCACCTTGCGAGAGAGCGAGAGGAACTGGGTTCGATTCCCGGCAGGGCAGCGCAGAGCGAAACATCGGGCAAGTTTTCTTACTCCACACACACGCAGGGGCGCCTGTTTCCTTGGCAGTAAGTAGGAACACGCTTCTTAGTCTATCAGCAGATCGCTTTGTTGAGGGTAATAAGTCACTTCAAAAATATATATATGATAATGCGGTCACTCAATCCACGACAGTTTGTGGGACGTCGCTGGGCGCAACTGGCTACCGCATTTCTCCCACAAAACACACAGTTATTACACTTTACAGTGTATCCTGTGAAGCGCTTTGAGACATCTCAAAGACGTAAGAAGGTGCTATATCAAATGCAAGGATTATTATTATTATTATTATTAACTCCACAAACAGTTGTGGAGCGGGGGATTGGGGGTTTCTTGGCCAGGACACCGGGAGAAAGAAACTCTTTTTGAGTAGCGCCGCGGGAGATCTTTAACGTCCACCTAAACAGACAGACGGGACCTCGATTTCATGTCTCATCGGGAGTCCTGTAGTTCAGTGGTTAGAGCACTCGCTTTGCAAGTGAGAGACCTGAGTTCAATTCCAGGCAGAGGGCCAAACCTTGGGCAAGTTTCCTTACTCCACACAGAGCCTAATAATAATCCCTCCAAAAAAACAAAACAATAATAAATTGGTCATTTTCAATCCATGACTGTTTGTGGGACATTGCTGTGCGCAATTGGCTGCCGCGTTCACCTACAAATATACAGTCAATTCACTTTACAGTATATTCTGTGAAGCGCTTTGAGACATCTAGAAAACGTGAAAAGCGCTATATCAAATGCAAGGATTATTATCATATTATCTGAATGACAGCACCTCTGACAATACAACACATCCACCAGCACTGCATTGGAGCGTCAGCTTAGACTGTGTGATTCCAAATCCCAACATGGGGGCTTCTGACTCAGCTGAGAAGCTGCCCCTGAGCCAGGCTGACACACTCTCCCCCGTTGAATATTCCCCATTATTTATGTGAAACATTTCAAACCGTTCACCCTACATCTAAAAAGTTGCTATATGGGTGCATGTTGCTATGAAGCCCCCAGAAACCTTGACCCTATGTGTGAAAGGCCCTGAAATAATAATAATGCTTGGATTTGCTGTAGTGCCTTATCATGTCTTCGCAATGTTTCAAAGCGCTTCACAGAATATAATGTAAACATGGCAGCCAATTGCGCACTGCAGCGTCCCATAAACAGTTGTGGATTGAAGTGACCAATTATTTTTTTTTGAAGGAATTATTACCCCCAGAAAAGCGATCCGCCAATCGACTAACACCCGGGTTCCCACTTACTGCTGGGTAAACAGAGGCGTATGGAGTAAGGAAACTTGCCCAACATTTCGCCCTGCTCGGGAATCGAACCCAGGTCCTCTCGCTTGCAAGGCGAGAGCTCTAACCAATGAGCTACAGGACACCACTGTATAAGTGCAGATGGTGGTGAAGCATTTTAAAAAGTTGCTTCTACTTGAAAAAGGCTCTGCATTAGTGCAAGCTGTCGTGATGCACTTTGAGACGTTGCCCCTACTTGGTGAAAAGTATAGCAGTCTATATTATTTGCTGTGTTTACAGAAGATGGACTGGACTCTCAACACATTCCAGAAGCTGATCTTGACGGCCTCTGATGAGACGGACTTGGATGATCCCATGAGCTTGGAGAACACCCGGAATTTAATCTCCCAGTTCCAGCAGCTGGATCGCATCGACTCTCTCAGCGAACAGATCGCGTTCCTCGAAGAGAGGCTGTCTGACTCCTGTGAGTGCCAATTAGGTGGATTGTGCTTTGCGGATTCAATGTGTGTTTGTGTGTGTGTGTGTTCAAGAGGGTATTTCAGACCTTTAATGCTACATTTTGCCCACAAAATATTCAGTCCATTCACAGTATATTCTGTGAAGTGCTTTGAGACATCTCGAAGACTTAATAAGATGCTATATCAAATACAAGGATTATTATTATTATCATTATTACTATTATTACTGTGATGCTTTTCAGGGCTCATCAACTGGAATTCACTGCCTGCAAGGGTGGTGTTAGAAGATTAATAGTAGGTTTCAAAAGTAATTGGAATAGGTATTTGAAAAGGAAACATTTGCAGGGCTATTGGGGTAAGAATGGGGAATGGAACTAACTGGATCGTTGTTTCAGAGAGCCGGCATAGGCACGATGGGCCAAATGGCCTCCTTCTCTGCTGTAGGATCCTATGATTCTATGCACTAATGAGATACCGGTGGAGATACTGTTAACTGACCCTCTCTATGACTGGTTGAAAAGGCTGCTGTTTTCCTGTGACCACTTCATTCATTGCTTGGAGTCCTGTAGCTCAGTGATTAGAGCACTCGCCTCGCAAGCGAGAGGATCTGGGTTCAAATCCCGAGCAGGGCAAAATGTTATGTAAGTTTCATTACTCCACACGCCTCTGTTTACCTAGCAGTAAGTATGAACTCAGTTGTTAGTCAATTGACGGACCGTTTTTCCGGGGACAATAATAACTTCAATAAAATAATGATAATAAAATTGGTCACTTCAATCCACGGCTGTCTGTGAGACACTGCAGCGCCCACAAAATATACAGTCAATTCCCTTGACAGTCTATTCTGTGAAGTGCTTAGAGACGTCTCAAAGACATGAAAAGGCGCTGTACCAAATGTAAGGATTCTTATTCTTATTATTATTAAACTTTCTGTGCCCACTTCATTCATTGCTTCTCATCCCTCTTTCCCACAGGTACCTGTCGGGATGGAAACTAGCGACGGGATGTCGTCCCTCAGTGACAGACCGAGCAATGAGACAGTATCAACCCCCGGGAACAACAGACCTCACCCTCAGGGGACCAGGGATGTTCCCGGAAACCCTGACTATTGGTGCTATGTAATGGGTGTGGGAGGGAGCTGCTGATATCAGACAGATATTCTGTGTCTTTCTGTATGAGATTCCAGTGTGAACCCCCCCCCTCACCACACATCACCCTTGTTAGTGTAAAGTTGTATATTTTTTGTAATTTATATTTGGGGACAGATCAATAAAAAAAGGTGTCCTTTCTTTTCTAAGTGACTGAGTCGCTGCACTGATGTTTATTTGACAGCCTCCTGACCCCATATCAGTCTGTCCGCTCCCTCCGTTTGCCGGACACTCGCCTGTTTCAGGACCCCCGCACTTCCCGCCCTACCATTGACGGTCAGGCATTCAGCATCTCTGCCCCCACACTCTGGTACTCTATCCCGCAATCTCTCCGCCTCATCCCCACTCCTTCTTTCTCCGTATAACTATAAGTCTGCCTGTCCTGGTGGACATTACATAATAATAATAATCCTTGTATTTCAAATAGCGCACTGTCACATCTTCAAGGCGTCTCAAAGTGCTTCACAGAATATACTGAAGTGAATTGACTATTTTATGGGCAAAAATATATCTTATGAAGCACTTTGAGATGCTGCAACACTGTATATTATATAATAATATAAGAGTGTTATATCAAATTCAAGTATTATTATGTGATTCTGTCAGTCTTTTCCCGCTGCTGTCTCTTTCACGTTGCCTCTCACACTCACTTAATAATAAATAATAATAATCCTTGCTTTTGGTATAGTGCCTTATCACGTCTTCAGGACGTCTCAAAGCGCTTCACAGAATATACTGTAAAGTGAATTGACTATAGTAGATTTGTATAGCACCTTTCATGTCGGGAAACATGAAGCACAAGAAAGGCACTGTATAAGTACAAATTGTTGCCATTCGACTAATTAAACTGTATTGCGGTCTGGAGGCTTTGTACAGTTTACCAGATTTATTTTCACAAGAGGAGCCTGAACCTGAGGGATATCAGTGGCAAGGTTGAAGGCACCAGCAGTGGCAAGGTCAGAGCCACACAAGTCAGAGTGAGCTTTGTCGTAAAAGCCGGCAACAAAGCAGAAGTTGGTTGGAGGTGAATGCTGACTGCAGATTAATCCCAAATTCACTAACAAGGAGCTGACTGTTTTTTGCCAGTTGTGTGTTGAAAGCTTCCTTCTGCGATCTCCACAGTAATGCTAATCCTTGCATTTGATTGTGCGCCTCATCACGTCTTCAATAGATCTCAAAACACTTCGCAGAATATACTGTAAAGTGAATTGACTGTTATGTTTTGTGGGCGAAACGCAGCAGCCAATTGGCACAGCAGTGTCCCACAAACAGTCGTGGATGAAGTGACCAGATTTTCTTTTAATTCTTTTATTTTGAATGGATTGTTATCCCCACAAAAGCATTCTGCCAATCCACTAACAACCAGGTTCCTATTCACTGCTGGGTAAACAGAGGCGTGTGGAGTAAGGAAACTTGCTCACTCACTGTTTCGCTCTGCCCGGAATCGAAACCAGGTCCTCTTGCTTGCGAGGCAAGAGCTCTAACCACTGAGCTACAGAGCTCAAAAGGATAAAAATGGAGCGAGCGTCAGTCACAGAGAACACAATCCTCCAGTGCCGCCTACTGGTGATCGCTGCAGTTTCTCCCAGGCCGCGGAGAACACAGAGCAATGTTCTGAGGGCTTAAAAATCTATTTTATGGAATCCTCCGTCCTCGGGTGGGAAAAGTGATGAAAGAGGAGGCCGCAGGTGTCCAGTAGTTCTGCGTGAACCCCACCCCTGGTAAACCAACAACAACAAATTACATTTATAGCCATCGCCTTTCACTTCAGAAGGATGTCTCCAGATGCTGGGCAATCGATGGTTCAGTCCTGAGCTGGGGATTGGAATCAAAAGAGGTGGAGAGGGTTCAGCCTCCTCACCCCCTACCAACCTGCCCGCTCCCTCCACTCAGCGGGCTCTGGGCTGCTTCACGTCCCCCGCCTCGCTCGCCCCACCTTCGGTAGTAGGGTCTTCAGCCTCTCTGCCCCCATCCTTTGGAACTCCATCCCACAGTCCCTCCGCCTCACCCCCTCCCTTGCACCTTCAAGACCACTCTCAAGATCCGTCTTCTTCGACCATGCTTTTGGTCACCCTCCTACCCCTACCCTCCCTGCCCTCCACCCCTCCTGATCCCAACCACCAGCTCGGGTGCGGATCCCTGACGGTCCAGCACCTTGGGACGTCCTCCTGATGTGAAAGGCGCCATGTAAATAAAATTTGTTGTTGTTGTCTTGAGACAGGCTTTCAAGGAGGCAGGGGTGGGGAGAGGCAGAGAGATTCCAGGATGGAGTTCCAGAGGGTGGGGCAAAAAAGCTAAAGGTTTGACAACCAGTAGAGGAGACCACTGCCCACCGAGTGGACAGATTGCTGTCATTCATAGGTCGCAGAGGTAGGGAGGGCTTCAAAGGTAAAGCTCTCCCTACCTCTGCTCTGGGAGGTGTAAGGAGCCAGTGGAGCCGGGTGAGGCTGTGGGTGAAAAGGTCACGGAGCTTGGTACGGGAGAGGACATGAGCTGCAGACTTCTGAATAATCTGCAGTTTGTGGAGGGAAGAGCTGGGAAGTCTGGAGTTAGCGAAGTCGATCCTGGGCGTGAGGATGTGGGGGTTTAATCCCAAATTCACTAACAAGGAGCTGACTGTTTTGCCTCAGGGCCCCTGCTTGCTTCATGCTTCCTGCCCTCCAGCTCAGCCATTCAATCGCCTCTCACAGTTTGCATCTCCTCTTAATTGAGCCGATTGTCACTCATCCCCACAAATCCTTTATTCCCAGGATCATGAGCTTCTGATGAAGTTCCTTCTTCCAAAATCACCTGCCCCTACCAACCTGCCCGCTGCCTCCACCCAGCGGGCTCTGGGCTGCTTCACATCCCCCCCGTCTCGCTCGCCCCACCATCGGCAGGCGGGCCTTCAGCCTCTCTGCCCCCAACCTCTAGAACTCCATCCCACATTCCCTCCGCCTCGCCCCCTCCCAAGGCCCAGCTCGGGTCCAAATCTCTGACTGTGCAGCACCTCAGGATGTCCTCCCGAGGTGAAAGGCACCGGGTAAATGTCGTTTGCAGTTGTCTTCCCATCGCACCACCAAGTTGCAAACTTTGCAAGGTGAGAGACCTGGGTTCGATTCCCGGCAGAGTGAAATCTTGCTCCACAAGCCCTGATAATAATCCCTCAAGAAAAAAAATACTAAATTAGTCATTTCAATCCACGGCTGTTTGTGAGACGCTGCTGTGTGCAGTTGGCTGCTGCATTTTGCCCATAAAAATACAGTTAATTCACTTTACAGCCTATTCTGTGAAGCGCTTTGAGACGTCTAGAAGGTGTGAAAAACGCTATATCAAATGCAAGGATTATTATTATCATTATTAGGTTGTTTTTAAAAGAGTCCAGGCCTCAACCAGCCTTCCTGGTAACCCATTCAAGCTGCTGATTCCCCCTTTATAGAACTTTGCAACGGAGAGAAGGCCAACGAGCTGATTGCCCCAGTGCCAGCTCTCTGCTGAGGTAGCCGTACAATGCATCACCTCATTCAAGATCTAATAAAATGGTGCAACAGGCTCAAGGGGCTGAATGATGCCTTGCTAGCTTGGGCCCTGTGTTGTAATTCGCAGCGCTGGATGGGCTCAGTGATGTCCAATCTGTGGTGTGCTTGTTACAAGCAACGTATGAAGAAACGTTGCTGTCTTGAGACGGATAAACTGCTAGGGTTTGTTAGAAAATAAATAGGTTGAACTGTAATACAAACCTTTTGACGAGTCTGCAGTGGCAAATCTATAACACACAAAGGTTAACAATGTGCTAGGGTTTATTGTTAGTCTGTGCGTTCATTTACTGCCAGGCTCCGAGAGGGATCATGATCAACAGTACAGGATGTGGATGTTTATAGACACTGCTGTATTTCCCCAACAAACCTCCAATTTATGATGTTTGACTTTTAAATATTAAAGTAAAAATTCCACAGTTGGAAAAGAGGAGAACGGAAATAAAAATGTTACCTCGAGGCTGGAGGGTCAACCTTACTTAGGAACAGGGGATCATTCAACCTAGGAAGTCTGTTCCACCAGTTTATAAAATTTTTAGATCTTTTAATCCCAATGCCTCTCACAATTGTGGAGTCCTCTAGCTCAGTGGTTAGAGCCTCGCAAGTGAGAGGACCTGGGTTTGATTCCAGTCAGGGCAAAATGTTGGGCAAGTTTTCTTACTCCACACACCTCTGTCTACCTAGCAGTCAGTAGGAACCTGGTTGTTGGGCCTACAGCCCATCTGCCCCACCCTATGGAACTCCATCCCACAGTTCCTTTGCCTCACCCATTCCCTTATTACTTTCAAAGCGTGTTTCAAAACTCTTCGATCGAGCCATCGGACGGTCACCCTCCTGACGTCTCAAACCGCTTCACAGATTATATTGTAAAGTCAATTGACTATATTTTGTAGGTGAAACGCGGCAGTCAAATGCACACAGCAGTGTCCCACAATAGTGCCGTGGATTGAAGTGATCAATTTTATTATTATTATCATTATTGCTTTATTGAAGAAATTATTATTCCCGGAAAAACAATCATTCAATCGACTAACAACCAGATTCCTACTGCTGGGTAACAGAGACGTGTGGAGTAAGGAAACTTGCTCAAAGTTTCGCCCTGCACTGGAGTCAAACCCAGTTACTTTTGTTTGCGAGGTGAGTGCCCCACAAACAGTCGTGGATTGAAGTGACCATTTTATTATTATTATACTTTAATTTATTTTTTTGAAGGTATTATTACCCCCAGTAAAGCAATCCGCCAATTGACTAACAACCTATTTATGCTGGGTAAGCAGAGGCGTGTGTGTGTGGAATAAGGAAACTTGCCCAATGTTTCGACCTGCCCGGGAATCAAACCCAGGTCCTCTTGCCTGTGAGGCAAGTGCTCTAACCACTGAGCTACAGGACTTCAAGTAACTCAAGAGGGTGGAGGGGGCAACCTCAGAAACAGGCAGTATGTGTCTCTGAGACTCAGGCAACAACGTACAGCTCTAAGGGTCACAACAAAACCCAGGTATAAATTGGCCATTTACTTAATGGTCGGCTGCATAAGGGGGTAAATTCAGAACCAATCTACTAAAACACTATTTCAGTGAGTGAACAGTGAACCTGTGGAACAGGCTCCCCAGGGAGACGGTTGAAGCAGGAAG